GAAAACGAATGGCTGGCCCAGAGTTACCTAGTCAGCATTGTGGCTGAGTAGGGATTAGAACTCAGATCTCTTAAGTCCCAGTCCATCTCTCCAACCATCACACCACACTGACTCTTCCTACACATTGTAAGAGACAGCAAGTCCAGGTTTGCGATCAAGTGAAACTGACTGCAAATCAAGCGTTGTAACTCCAGTTTGAAAAGAAGTTTGGTACCAAGGTAGCTAATCCAGGGTACATGTACTCATACCATAATGCAATTTCAGGCACACTTATCTCATGCGCTCATTGGCTGGGTTTACCCATCACCACAAACAACCCCGCATTGTTTCCACAGCTCCCAGATTTTTGGCTTGAACTTACTGGTGCCAGTCTCATGGTTCCCTGGGCAACATGCTTTCCACACTCCCATTGATGATCATCGGTTGCAACCCAATATACTTTTTGATGTACACCAAAAATCACAATGCAGGCAGCCTCAAACACAGAACATAATTGCACATATTCTGGGCTTGTGATCATGCTTGTCAATTAAAAAAAACACTATTAAAATACACACAAAAGGGTGTGTGTTAGGAAAAAAAGTAATCAAAATACAGACGGCTACTGAGTTATGAACATTCAAGTTAAGAACAACTTGTATTTACAAACAAACTGACATTAATTTATTGCTGTGGAAAATCATCACTACCATAGAGACAGAGGAAGCCCAAGGGGAGAGAGGAAGGACCTCCAGAGCACCACTGCAGAGAGAGAGAGAGGAAATAACGGATATAGAGGGAAGCCTCCAAAGCAGACCTTCCTGCCCTGCTCATTCAGAGGGAAATCTCTCTGGCATTTCCTTGCTGCAAAGAGCAGGTATTGCTGAGTTTGGGCAGAGGTGTGGAGGTCTAGAGATATTCATGGTTTCTCCACTTCCGGGGGTGGGGGGCCTGTACCACTAATACCTGCAAATGTGGACGACCAGCTATATGTGATCCAACTTACAGACAAATTTGACTTAGATGAATTTCTGTTTTTTTCAGAAATGGAACTCATTCGTAACCCAGGGACTGTTTGTATACGTGCTAGGGAACTGTGCACACAAAATCAATATGTCTTATGGAGATGATGTGTATATTTGCAAAAATGCAGACAGACATGTGCATATTGGGCGAAATGCATATAGAAAGATGTATACATTTTCATGCACACCTTTTAGACACAAATTTGCATGGAAATGGAACGGAAAAATGGAACGGGTGCTCTTCAACGGCTTCAGGTGAGCCTGATAGATTTGCTGTGTCCTGCTAACTGTTGCAACAACGATACCTCACCTCCTCGGTAAAAGCAGCGTGTGCCACAATGCCAGTTGCTCATTGCGAGCTGGCACACAAGGAGGAGAGCACTGCTGGCCCCTGCCCTGCTTGTGGCCTTCTCATCACTGGCTGGCCACTGTGCCAAGAGGCTTCTGGCCCAGCGAGGCCTTGACTGTGCTGCATCAGGACTCGCGGCCAAGAGTACAGGGCAGTGACACCTAAACTGAGTGGCTTTTAGAGAATCATGCATGCATGTGGAAAATGAATCAGAAGCTACTTTGAAACGAGAGTCTCAGAAATCATCCTATTATTTGCAGATAACACTTAAATGAGAACTGACAGATCTCTTGTTCCTTGTGCAGAGCATTTTTATCTCCATTGAAGATGCTGTGCACATACATTTTGGGTTTAAGATAAATATGTAGCCAAGCAATGGGGGCATCCTAGATAGCTTCTCCAAGGTTCATGCTAGCAGTACATTGACACATAGGAACACTTCTTGTTGTGGAATGACAGGAGTATGTTCCTCATGGTCTTCAGGGCTGGATTCATAATCAGGTCATAAATCACCCTTTTAAGATTTTGCAAAGAACTCAAATAATGGCTGGCTGAATGCCTTTGGAAGGATTATTTTAAATGATGAAAAGGGAGGCTCTAAAAATAGGCAACTCTGGAATGATTCTGCAAAACTACTAGGGATAATTCCAGTAACATTGCTTCTATTATGAGCAGGTTTTCAGAATTTGTCACCCAAATAATGCATTAGCATCTGAACAAATCAGAATAGTCTAGTCTGAGTTAACACTGGGAAACATCAACACCGGTCAGAGTTTTGCCACTGATGTCTTCTGTTGACTTTGGATTGCATCCACTGCCTTGATCCAGAGTTCTGTGTGTGGTCAGAGACACATATGGGTATTTTTTGTATGTGTAGCATAGGACCTGATCCACATACAGATTCAAACAAATTGCTTCTGCTGAAAACAAAAAAGGGTGCAAAAAACAAAAACAAAAAACCCACTGCCAGTGCTCTGATATCCAAAAATAAGAGTCAGATGAGAGCAGCCATGTAGCAAGATGCCTGTCTTCCTTCCAGCCATTTACTCTTGGAATTCTGCAGTGCTCAACTTTAGGGAAAAGCCCAGTCAGTGCTATATAGCCTGATGATTGTGACTGCTCTTAAGCATTTACTAAGTGAATCCTCCATCAATCAAGACCTTTGTGGTTCTTCTATGCCAAAGGCTCTATAGCTCTGTATGGAGATCTTTTCTTTCTTGGATACACAGTTTCGGAAATCAGCATGCTACATGATTTCCCCCTCCTGCTCCATGTGCTCCAGAGCGCAGAGCGCTTCATCTCCTGTGAGTTCAGCTTAAGGCACAGGACTTCCCACCTCCCGTATCACACAGCAAATGGGCACACAAGCAGGTGTGGCACTCATGCGCTCAACTCCAAAGAAGTCCCTGCTACAGGGGGATGTCTGGCATAGCGCTGAGGTGGGGCGGGCCTACAAGGGACCCAAAGCTGCCTGCAGGGCCCAATCTACTGCCTCAGGAAAATGGATAGGGGCAGTGGCTGCTGCTGACCCTTGGTGGGCTAGAGAGACCCATCCCCAGCATCCTTGGCCACTGCTCACCAGTGTCAAATCCGAGGCTGGCCTGGGTAAGCACCAGCATTTATCACAACCAGTGTGCAAGGGGTATTCCTTTGTTGCTGAGACTGTTGGTGTCCTCTGACGGTGGCAGGCATGGCGTGGGAGAAGGCACTGGATGCAGACGTACTGTTTGCTTCTCCTTCAGCAGCTGAGTAGCACCAATGGTTTGCTCAATGAAGGGAAACCTGGGGGTCACCTCTTGTTCCCAAGGATATTTTGTATTCACACGATCCTGCCAAGACAAGTCAATGTATTTTTCTGCCACTTCACCTCCCTGGAGCAGCCTCGGTTGGGCATTCACGTTCAAGTGAACGCTGCAAATTTGCCCCCAGATGCTCCGAAGAGGATCCTGGGTTTGTTCCATCCTGCATTACATATGTACCCACATCCTAATCATTGCAATATGTGGATATAGGATGACGCATGAACTGTGATTCATACTTGCAATTGAAAACCCAGTAATGCAACTGGTCAGGCAGGTCCCGCTGTGTTTGATGGCACGTGCTTCCAGCAAACCCCACGGGGAGTGCTAGGCTCCGGTCCTAGCAAGTTCTGCCATGCGGTCCCTCTTGAGGATGACCTGCTCCCCGTGCCGCGGATCACACTGTTAGCTGCGGGTGACAGCGCCCAGTGCCCTGTCTAGCCTTCTGCCTTATGTGGTAAAACAGCAACACCAATTCTCTGAAAAACACTTTCTATGGAAGGCAACACTTTTATTAAATGAAAGTCAATCACATGGCAGCAGCTAACATTCATAGTTCACAGCGTCATTAGAAATACAGGTTGTTCAGTATCAGTATCGTTGATTCATCACTTCAATATGGAAGTTAATCCGTTCTAATAGTTACATGTGTCACACGCATCGAAATGCCAGGGTACCAAGCACGCTGGCCCAAATTCAGCTTGAATCATGTTTTTTTTTCCTAGCAGGCTAATAACCCTAGAAGGAAATGTGCTCACTCTCCTACCCTGTCTCCTTCATCCATCAACTTTAATGAAGTCCAGGTAGATGTCGGAATGCACCTTCAGGTCAGCTATGTACTTGGTTCTCCCTTGATCAATCAGGGCAACTGAGCTTGGAATTCAGTTCCTTTAAATTTGGTTGGCCTAAATCATGAAGCAATGTATAGAGGTGGGGCTGTACAGACCAATCATGTGAGGTTCCATGCATAGCTGCTTTATCCTGCGGCCGCTCATCCTGTGGTTGTCTCATAACCACAGGCCAGAGTGCAAGCTCAATTTTGGAGGAGCTCCCAGGGACCTCATTCCAGTGGTGGCTGGGGCCAAAGGAAAAAGGGTGGAGCCAACAACGCTACCATATTGCAGCTTAGAGCTCTTACCGCCAGTAACTAAGCCTTAGGAGAGGCATCTCAACCCATTAGAGTCATGCAAACTACGTTCTTAAGGCTACAGTGTTCAAACCACTCTGATATTGGAGTTCCATTGATATTGCTAGTGTTATCTTTATGGAGAAAAAAGACCTTGAGAATCACACCTGTAGTGACTGTGAGCTGGACAATAAAAGCCAAAGAAGTCACCAAAACAATGGTTGGGGAAAGAAGGAAGGCCAGGGCAAGGGGGCTTGGTCTTCTGAAAAACCCTACAGGGCTGGATTTGGACCCCAGGAGGACCAGATTTGATCCACGGACTGGAGGTTCTGCGCCCATGGGTTATCGCCATTCTTACCATTGAGGCTGACATGGGAAGCAACCATGCAAATGGGAGCTCACATGCGCTACCACCACGGGATGGGAGGTATAAGGGAGCGGCTTCTAGTCAGTAGCCGCACCACAGTAGCATGTGAATTGGCTTTCAGATCTCAGAGTAAAACAACATCATGCAGTACTGCAGACAACACCAATTTTATACCAAGCACAAAATCGGCTATGTTTATAAAGCCATCAGAAGATGGAGGGAGAGAGCAAAGCTACAGTCCTCAAACCACTCATTCTGGAAGAGTTTCATTGACCTTACTAGTGTTATTTCTATGGACCAAGAAGGACTTGAGGATCACACCTGCCCAACCAAGTGGCCCTTTTAAAGAAGCACGTTAACAGCTCTTGTCTCCCAGTTTCTTTTTGCTGGTCTTCTCAATCATGGTCTCCACAATCATTGCAGTTTCTTCATAAGTCTGAATTTTGTCATCAGAGAACTTCTCGATGGATTCCACCACTTCTACCTTCTCGTAACTCATGGTGCTTGGAGGGCTCAGTTCTTTGAAAGGCAGGGCGGTTTGCCTGCCAGACTCTTGGTCTGTGTAAATCCCTGCTTCTGTTCGGTCACTCAGATCTGCTGTAGGAGCTGATTCAGGTGCCACAAGGCTTGTCTCTTTGGAGGGCCCTTCATCTTCTTCTGCAGGCTTTCTCCACTGTTTGGATACATCTTCCTTCTCTTTGGCTTCTGATCTGTATTCGTATGTTATGTCTTCTTGCACCTTGGACCACTCTTGCACCTCAAATTGATTTTTGTCATGCTCAGATGGTTTGGGCAGCTCCGGGATCGGCTCTATGTCATCCCCACCTGGCATCTTTCCTTCGCTATCAGAAACTGTGATCTCACCTCCAGAAGGAAAGGATGAAGAAAGGAAGTTGGGGTCTTCGTAGCTTCCCTCTCCTGTGACAAGTACATAACGTCCTTTAGTATAAAAGTCAGTCTTGGGTTCTGGTCTCTGGTAGCCTCTAATTCTCTCTCTCACTATATTGCACAGTTTATCAAAAGCTTTGCTTATCTGGGCGCCATCTGGCACGTCCTCCTCAGCTCTCTCTCTCTCGATTTCTCCCACTACATCATCATGCCCATGTTCACTGGTTACCACAAATCCCTCATGTTTGATATCCAGCTGATCTTTATCAAAGCCTTCGAGAGGTCGGTCATACATTTTTTCTGATGAGGAGGCACCATTGCCAAGGTCCCTGGATGTGATCTCCTTCCTCCGCAACATTTTTTTGGGCAGACTTCTTTGTCTCACCTTTGCACTAGCAAAGTCTTGGATGACCAGTGTGATGTCTGCAGTAAAGGAAATAAAGAGCAGAAACAGACACAGTACAGCATGCAGCTAAGAGAAGACAGCAGGCGCCATGTTCAGCCATAAGTCAGCATCTTAACCATGTCCTTATTTTATGGACTTAAAATGGATATTTAAAATATTGGGCTGGATCCATGCTTACTTATAGAGTAGACCCATTCATGTGATTGGGATCTAGATTTAATCAACTTAAGTCCCATTCATTTCAGTGGATCTGCTCTAAGCATGAATAGTCATCATTCCTATCTTTTAGATTATCACAAAATGTTCTAAATTTAATCCTTTGGTGCTGCCATCCTTTCAGCACTGATTCCTGTGCATTTCCTAAATATTTCAGGAGGACCCATTCAGGAGCATGTACTCAGCACACGTATACATACACACACTAGAGGTGAAAAAAATATCACACACAAACATGCATGAGGACAGAGAGAAAGAGGGGCAAGTCAGTCGTATTTTCAGGGTAGCTACGAAAATGTGCCCTAAAATTTGATGGTTTTAGAAAGTGGCTGTAAGATGCAGTGCTTTTGCCTCCATTAATTACTGCAGTTCATACTGTGTAAGATAGAGGAAAGCTCAGTTTACCAATCCTGAGGAAAATCAAGAGGGCACTGATGAAGCGAAGGCTGCAGGCTCACTCCCAAGTCAACCTGCAAAGGACTGCAGTCCAGTGCAGTCCTGACCTTCACGAGCAAAGGCCCCACTGAATGGGAGCATTCCCATGTTTCATTTCAGTCACATGTGCATCATGTTCCAGCTACACAGAGGTAGGCAAGTGGTCCACAAGATGTCTTCCTTTTCATAGAATCAAAGGGTTGGAAGGGACCTTTGAGGTCATCTAATCCAACCCCTTCCTCACTGCAGGCTTCAGGATCCCAGTCAGGAGGTTGTCCAGTCCCTGCTTAAATAATTTCAGTGAAGGAGAACCCACCAACTTGCAAGGCAAAAACCTCCACTACTGAATAGATCTATTTGTTAGAAAGTTTCTCCTAATACCTACCCAAAATTGAACTTCCCTGAAATTTCCACCCTTTTCACCCTCTGGGCCAAAAGAGAGCAACACAGCAAGCCCCACAACACTATCATGGTCAACTCTGTCTCTGTCTGTCCATCTGTCTGTCTGTCTCTCTTTTCGGTTAATACAGCTTTTTCTTCTTTCACTGAATAGCAGCCACCCATAGGTAAATGGCCAACTGACCCCCCTCCCCCGGTTGAAATCAGTGGTGGCCAGACATGATGCTAATGTAGTCACAGAGGCATCTCAATCATCATCATCAGCAGCAGCAGCACTAGTCCCATGGACCAAGAGACCATTACCTCTCCCTCTCGGGGCTGGAATTTGCGAGGGTCTGTAAGTCTGTGTGAAGAGGGTTACAGGGGTTCCAACAATGGCAGAATTCAACCTAGGAGCAGAGAGAGGGAAATCATGCTAAGAAATTCCCACACAGTAATGCCTTACAAAATAGTGAAAACTTTGCGACTCTAAATTAACCCCATGCCAGGTCAGGCCATGCAGGCAGCTTCTATAGGATTTCAGATCTGTCTGTGCATGGTGTATGGGCATATTCTGAGTAAGTTCTTTTTATTCCAATTTAGTCCATTGAACTTGAAGCCTTGAGTTGAGTACATGGGTGGAATCTGGACATGGGGGTTTGTGAATGTTACTGAAGACGGGCCCTTCCAGCTCTGGCTGTCCACTCAGACCACCACCCAAAACACCGCCAAGGTGCAGTAGATGGCATTGCTGTTGTAAGAAGCCAGCACAGAAACCAAAACTGGCCACTTGAGGGTTTTCACTCTCCACAGCCAGCAATGCATGGTCCCCATCTCCTCATGCATCAATGGGCTTGGACAAAATTCCTCCTCTATGCAGTGCTCTCTCTTTCCACCTCCTCTTTCTGTGTGCAGTGGAGGCAGGGAAAGGAAGCCTATCTGCTTCCCCAGCCCTCTCCTCACCACACCGTTGCAGATCGCCTCCTGTCCTGCCTCCTGCTCAGAGCTCCCACTGAGCTGCACTCTGTGGGCTGTGAACTAGGCTTTGTGGTGGGAAGCAACAGCAACAGGGGGAGATGCGTGGCAGGAAGGCAGGCTGCAGCAGGGCACTCCGAGGCCTGCAAGGCCAGGCCTGCTGCTTGCTCTGCCTTGTGGGCCTGGAGGGAGGCTCGGGGAGATCACTCCACTGTGGAGCAGCAGGGGCGGCAGCAGCATCCACACAGCCTGTGGCTTCCCCATGTCTGCTCGCCTCCTTCTCACGGCGCAGATGCCGGCTGTGCCTCTCCTGTGCAGCTCTCCTGTGCCGATCGCTCCTGGGAATGCCAGAGGAATCCACAGTGGAGTCAGAGGAGCTCAGAGTTCTATGAACCCAACCTGTGACTTGTGCAGCGGAGCCCTCTTTGTCCAATTGGGCTGATTCTGCAGATGTCTGGACCCATGTTTCGCTTCCACTGGAGGATCTAGTGCATTTGTGCAAGTGAGCATCTGTGCTAATGCATGCTCGTGCTGATACAGATGAGCACAAGTAGCACAAATGAGAAACATGGTCCAAAATCCACACACTCTGCCGTTCTCCCTTAGGTTCCCCCTCAGAAGGAAGAGCCAGCCACCCTGCTTGTCCTTGCTCTGGGCAGCGGGGAGGAGAGGCAGAGCAGCAGGGGAAGGGGCTGGGGCTGGGGGATGTGCTCAGGCTGGCAGCGGCCCTCTAGTTGGCATGGCAGGCACTTGCCTGCCTTATCCATATTCTGTATTTGCAGCAGCATCCCCGCCCGGTAGGTGGAGATTGTTCAAGTTGCAAGACCTTGAGATTTTAAGTGGCAGGTCTGGCCTCCTCCCCTTTCTCTTGGGGAATGGGGCATGAGGCGAGACTGAGGGAACTGGGTCTCTTCAGCCTGGAAAAGAGGAGACTCAGAGGGGATCTGTTGGCGACATACAGGTATGTGAGGGGAAGTCACATGGAGATGGGTAGAGACCTGTTCTCCCCTGCAGAGGAAGGCAGAACACGCTCCAACGGAGCAAAGCTCAGGGAGCCAAGGTTCCATTTGGATGCCAGGAAGCACTTCCTGACAGTCAGGACCCCGGGGGTGTGGAATGGGCTTCCACAAGAGGTCGTTGAGGCCCCATCGGTGCGGGTGTTCAAGGATAGGCTGGACGTCCACATGGTGGGCATGTCGTGAGCGGAGCTGGCTGGTGCCAGAGGTCAGACTAGATGGCCCGGGAGGTCCCTTTTGACTCACTCTGTTTCTGTTTCTCTTTGCTTTCCATTCTTCCTGATGCCTGGTCCCCAGAAACACTCGTGGGTGGGCCTCATGCTCCAGATCTCAGCCATCATGTGACTGATGCCATCTTTAGCCTGCATGTGGGGATGTGGTGTGGGGGTGCACACGCTAATTTCACCCCCTGCTTCCCCTGTCCCCATCCATCCCACCCCATCAGTCCTGCGTTTACACACAGCGGGGCTCCTACATACATTCGGGCAAAGGTGCCCCACAAGCTTGTCCTATCAGACAAAGCCCCTCCCAGCTATGCAAAGGCTTTTACGGGCATCCGGCTGAACATGTGACATGCACGAGGGGAGAGCAGGCCCCCCTGCCCACTTCTGCCACCTTCGCTCCACCTGACTGGCACAGGAAGAGGGGCTGCTCCAAGGCCGCAGTCCAGAGTTAAGCTGTGTGCTTATGCTTTCCGTTCCGAGTGAATGCCAAGGGAACTGACCTACTTACGGCTCTAGCGCTCGCTGTGTGTGTCCATGCTGAATGGTTCTGGTGTGCTGAGCGTTACTGGCGGACTGAAATACTGCTTGACTTCAGTTTGAGAACCTGCGGCATGCTCAGACTTGAGAGGTGTAAGCAAAAATCTCTTTGGTGGCAGCCAACTACTGCCTATTGAGCTCCATTCCATATTTATATATTTATTTTCAAATTATATGCTGCTCAGTGTTTCAGTATGAAGCACTGATCAATACACTCAGTGCCTAATGTGTGTGTGTGTGTGTTAAAATGACTTAAACATGGCAGTATCTTGGCCCCCGAAGCTCGGATGAGCCTCTTACCTGCTATCTTCATTTTCAATAATGCGTTTGTAGCGCTCCAGCTCACTCTCCAGGGACTGCTTATAGATGGAGAGCTGGCGGCAGTCACTGGTGTATTTTTCCAAGGTCCTCTCTGCATCTTCTATGCCCTTCCTCAGAGTGTCAATTTGCTCGTTATACAGCTGGATCTCGTCATCGTAGCTCTCCTGGGTATGCTTAATAGTCTGTTCCAGCATCGTTGTCTGTTGAACAAATGCAGAGCAAAGAGGTTGCTTGAAGCAGCCATGAGGACGGACGTGCTGGCACCTTCTCAGAGAAGGCGTATCAGCCTGCTCATGGACTTTAACCAGCGCGGTACTGCTAGGAACAATGGCTTTGCAAATCATAGGAAGATGGGAAATGCTGCCCTGCAGGCAAGCTGTGGAACTGCCCCCTGCTTGTGGGATGGCCAAACCCAGCCCAAGATGGCCTTCTGCTAAGTGGCCATTTCAAGAAACATTCACCTGGCCCAACTCTGATAGTATCAAAGAGAACTGGCAACACAGAAATGCAGGTGGGTAGCTAGGAAAAGGCCTGGATCAAGCTGACAACTTGGTGAAGACCTTTGGAGCTGTGCAAAGCTCTCCCATAGTCCCCATGGCTGCCGCTTTGCAGGATGGAAGACCTGAAGAGCATGCATACGATGGGCTGGTGCAGCTACTGCCATGTCTCCCCGTCTTATGGACCCATCTGCTTATTAGGCCTGCAGAAGTGGCCCTCTTGAGGCCTCCTTTCCCTGTGAGATGGGCTCAGCCATGACTTACACTTGGCTGCACCCCCTCTTGGCTTTCCAAAGGGTTATGAAGGCACAGCTTTTCAAAACTATGGAAAAAGAACATCTAAAACAGATAACCGTCAAAACATTAAATGACATAATTGAAACGGCTGTATTTCATCCTGCACCATGGGGTGACTTTCATATCACAGCTTATACTTTGCCATGCACTTTATACACAAGGAAACCTACAATCTAGTCTTTCTGGAAGCTTGCCAAGTGTGCGGCAGAAACACGGTCCCCAAACTTCATCCACTGCCTTTTATAGTTTTCCTTCTTTAATCAGAACTGCCTGGGCATAAAATGTCTCCAGAGCTGCATAACAGTAGGACATTTGGGCAATTTTGGGCTGCACGGATAGATGTGTAGATTCCAAATGACACGAGGAACTTATTTCTCTCCACTCAGCACCAGTGAAGCCCCATCTTGAGTAGTGTGTCCAGTTCTGGGCACTACAATTCAAGAAGGGTGTAAAAACCATGGAGGGCGATAAGAGGAAAGTGGCAAACAAGGCCCTGTGAGGAGAGTGAAAGGACTGGGCATGACTGGCCTGGAGAAGAGCAGGCTGAGTGCAGATATGATAACTCTTTTCAAATATGTGAAAGGTCGTCACGCAGAAGAGGGCCAGGATCTCTCCTCGATTGTCCCAGAGTGCAAGGCACAAAATACTGGGCTCAAGTTACAAGAAGCCAGATTCTAGCTGAACATCAGAACAGCAGGAATAGCTTCCTGCCATTAGAGCAGTATGGCAATGGAAGCGATTCCCTGGGCGGGGCATGGGCTCTGCCATACTGGAGGCATTCAAGAGGCAGCTGGACAGCCGTCTGCCAGGGATTCCTTAACCTGGAGCCCTGCACTGAGCAGGGGGTTGGATTGGATGACCTTACAGCGGGGTGGATTTGATTTATCAAATTTATTTAAATCACGAGTCAGTTTGAATCATGCAATCATAGACTAGTAGAGTTGGAAGGGGCCATGAAGGCCATCAGGTCCAACCCCCTGCTGTTAAGACTAGATTTAAATCATGGTTTTCTACATAATTTGCACGCATGCCTGCCTTACCTGTAGATAGAAAAACTTCATGAAAAGATTCCCAAACTGGGTTGCTTTTATGGCTCGCTGCCATTATAGGTCTTCTCCTCCAGGGAAAGAATAACATGACAAACCTCAGGCTGGACACAAAAAGATCCAAAGACTTGTGGAGTGTTCTGCTCAAACGGTTTCACTTTCATTTTAGTGCTTGTCCCTCCCTCCTCACACTTAGCTTCTTGTGGAGAGCAATTCCACTCCCAACAATCTCTTTCTATTCACTGAATTGTTTTGAAACTTACTACTTAAGAGGTAAGGGTTGAATCTGTGTGCATAATTTGTAAAGGGACAATGGGATTTTTCTCAGCTCTGTTTGTTTATTTTATAACATTTTTGCTGTGAAGAGGAGACATGTGATCTCTGCAGACTCAAATTCACAGTTTGAGAACTGTAAAAGCAAGCATCTGTGATAATATCTACAAAATGGAAAAATAGCCCAGTAATCTTACAGAAATCTGTGGAAGAGCAGGACATCATTGTGAATGGATTAATGGAATTCATTTACCAAAAAATCCAAACACTGCGTGAATACACAGCCTCATGCTGCATAATTAAAAACTAATCCTTATTTCATGATCAATAACCTTTGGACTACAATGTATCTTAAACAGAAAACTGTCTTTCGATAGATTTGTTTTCCTCAAAAAACATTTTTATTTAAATAAAAAATCCAATTTAAATCAAACAAATCTGATTAAAATTAAAAAAACAGATTTTTTTTAAATTATTTTTTTAATTTAAAAAAACATTGATTTTTATCCACCCTGCTTTAGAGGCCCTTTCAACCCTCTTATTCTATGACTGGGGTGCTCTTGTGAGCTCCACATATGGGGGCACAAAACAAGGTTAACTACAGGCCATAGTAATCTGTTTTGAGTGCCAGGAAGAGGACAAAAGCCCTCCCTCAAAAATAAAAAGGAGCAAGCGCTGTCATGCTGATTTTAAGTTGATAGGGCAAAGCATTGTTATGCCGATTTATACTGATGTACCTTGATGCAGAAAGGAGTCCACCTGAAGTTACCTGTACTGGCTGAAAGCCATTGCTGTGCTGCTTCTAATCTGCTGGGGGAAACAACAGTGGCCTTTGGCCTTTGGTAGGGGACGCTGGCATCACCAGAACAGTTTTGTGTGGAATGACAAAAATGACCCCTGCCCAAAAAAGTGACTATGGGGAGAGGTGTTAATGGAGGATGAAGGTCAAGATTGTTTTGCGTTGCACTGCTCTGCAAATACAGTGGTATATACAATAATAACTCTAAGAAGTCCTCTGGGGTTTAAAGCCATTCACACTTTACACAGCCATTCATGGAAAGAAACAGAGATCTGGTATTTGCAGTGAAAGACCTAGTCTGGCCTTCAAAATGTATCTCATAATCTTTTAAGAAAGAGCAGTATCTTCAATCCTGAGATCTCATGCTCATGGGATTCCTCTGCTGATGGAAAACAAGGAGGTAAGTTATGGCTGCGCCTTGGGTTTCCCAAAGGTCTGCCTCAGAGGGCTGGAGAAACCTCCAGAATTTAAAATAAAGGAAAATGGGAATGAAGTGTGAAAGGAGAGCAGTGGTGAAGCCTCCAGTCTGGCGGGGAACAGAGGCTGGTCTACTAATTAAGGGGCAATTGATCCCTAATCACTTAGCAGTGCTGAACAGAAAGCAGTAAAAGCAGAAAATGAAAGGGAAAGCATTCAGTTAAAGTCCTAGTAGTCCTTACAAGTCCCAGTAGTACTATATTGGGCAGGTTCAAGCTGCACTTGTGTTTTATTGCAAAAACTGGCCACGGCTCAGATTCGCAAAACAAAACCAAGCAAAAGAAGACAACACAGAAAACTCTGGAACGCAATGAGATCATCTGACTTCACGATAAGCAATAAGTAACCCATAAATGACAATTCCAGGAAAAGACTGCTAGAAAAGAATCAGCATAACATAATGTTTTGTCAGTCAGCTTAGCTGATCCTTCCATTATGGCTGGAATCTCATGCTGGTTTATGTGTTTGTGATTTACAGTTTTATTTTCATCTGGGCTTATTTGGCTTGGGTTGTTGAGTGAGTTTTCCAGTGGCTGAATTATCCCTTTTATTATGTTTTACTGGCATGTCTTTTTATGTTGCTGTTTCGTACATTTTATTTTTACTTTATGACAAAGTCTGCAACGTTTTAGCATTTGCTGTTTCTTAAGTATTCAGGACAACAGTACACTTGAAATGAAATCACTCTTAATTTTACTTTAAAATGTCTCACAGGGAAACAGCTTGCAGGTTTTCTGCATAAATAAACAAATAAATATCCCTCTACAGAAGAGCACTGATTAAAATTGCCACATTACAGTGAATAAGTCTATCAGCTTTTTGATAATGATGCCTTTTGTGTCATTGTGAACTGGTCCTGCAAGATCAACGTAGACTTCAGACACAAGCTTTCCCTCTCTATTTTATTCCTCTGCGGGCATTATGTTGTGTTGAACAATGTCATCCTTGAAGTCTTGGGTACAACAACTGAAAATGCTGTGCCTCCCCCACTGTGCAAAAAGCGTGCAGAATGTGAATTCACCACCAGGTGGCGCTCATTCACTTGAGAAAACAAAAGATTTGCTTGCCAAGGAAACCTTTCATTGCCTCCCCATGGTTCTAGGAGCACAAACGTGGGAGGTTCTGTGAGCAAGGCAGTGTACACTTTCGAATTAAAATCACACTTAATTTTACTTTAAAATGTTTCTCCTTAGAACTTTGGGGCATATTCTTAAATGCTGGGATCGGGGAGGTGTTTGTACAACGATGGACAGAGAGAGGGAACGCATGGCAGAACTTCACAACTTCACCATCAACCTAATGTATTTTGGCTGTGGTGGGGGGAGCGGGAGGAGCAGCAGCAGCAATTCTGAAGCAATCCGTTTGAAAACCGAAAATGTTCAGATGAAAACATATAGCTGTTCTCCATTGGAAGGTCTAAATCTGCTTTACGGGGGAAATCCTAAGAGAGGGGAGCAGGTGGGGCCTTTGAGGTTACCCACCAACAGTTAACATCCAAACAGCAAACTGGGCTTGCCCTCAGGTCCCCTGGTCACAGCACCCCTCAGTCTGGTGGGATGCATTTACTTGTATTTAAATTACATGGCTGATTTCTTAATTAGCAGGTGTCATTTTTATGTGAAATCATGCCCGCTTTTGTTGTCTTTTGGGGCGCTACATTTCCTCATTTTTGGCCATGTGGAAGGGGCCTGTTTTTATTCCGACCCCATGTCCTAACAAACTGCAAACAAAACTCCTTTGCCAGAAAGGGCTCAATGTCTCCTGCATATAATAGCCATTGTGGTGTCCTCTGATGGGACTGCCCATAATTGTCTGAACTCATACGTTTACAAGCATCCAATTGAGCACAGAAGGGATGTGCGGTGAACCTTCCCTCTGCACCCCTCAAAAACATCTAGACAGCTGACTTTGGCTATCCAAATGGTTTCTGCTTCCACACAAGAAGCGGGTGCAAAGATATAGCCCAAATGCAGTGGACACACGTGGCACCTCACTCTTCCTCTACCTGTCCCAGCTTGCCCTGAAGATGGTCTTTGGGGCCTCAGCCAGTGTGCCAGATGACAGGGAAGGGGCTCCGAAGGCAGAGGCCTCACTGTGACCTGGAAGACTTTTCTGAGTTCGTCGCAGGGGCTCCATCTTTAAACCCTCTTCCAGACATGCCCAAAATTTAACCCCCTGCCCCACTGGTTTGTGGTTACCCTGGTCAAAGTGGAATACCTCTGTCTGCAGTTTCACTTTCTGAGCCTGGAGCTGGCAAAGGATGCTCTTGTACTCTTCTAACTGGCCCTGAAGAATTGGTATCCTCCTTTCGGTTATCAGCTTCTCCTAAGACCAAAGCAGAAGAAAGGGCGGGAGAAACTGATTGCTGCAAGGATCATCAGAGGCGTAGCCGCATTCCTCCGAGGCCTGGCCTGCATCGCTGCAGAAGCCCTGCCACTTCATGGATTCCACTTGACTGGAATGGGCTGACAAATGGCACAAGCCCATCCAGGTACTTTGATGTGCAAACAAGAGATGCATAGGGGATTTCAAGGAACAGCTCTGAAAGCGAGACAGAGCAAGGCTCACTTCAAATGAGTGCCACCTTGAAATCCATAAACCTGCCTTCAGCAGAAACGGAACCTGAGCCTCTCTAGCTGCGGGCTGGCTACTCCGACCGGCAGCAATGCCTCCCCGTCCCCTGCACCAGCCCAAGACCGTTACACTGAAAATATGGAAACATGGATTTCTGCCTTGCCTTGCCAACAAAAAAAAAAAAAAAATGGTGGCCAGGGTGCTAACAGTAACAAAAATAAAAATTAAAGGAAGCTTAGTCAAGATGATCACCAACAACCAATAAGATTTAAAAACACATATGTTGTTGTTCAGTCGCAAAGTCATGCCCGACTCCCTGCAACCCCATGGACAACATTCCTCCAGGCCTTCCTGTCCTCCACCATCCCCCGGAGTCCACTTAAGCTCACACCGACTGCTTCAGTGACTCCATCTAGCCACCTCATCCTCTGCCGTCCCCTCTTCTTTTGCCATCTATTGTTCCCAGCATTAGGCTCTTCCCCAGGGAGTCCTTCCTTCGCATTAAGTGGCCAAAGTATTTGAGTTTCATCTTCAGTATCTGGCCTCCTAAAGAGCAGGCAGGGTTGATCTCCTTTTGTTCTGTTTGGGGCTGTGGTCCCTCTGCTATGTTTATCAAACTGTGGTTGCTTTTATCATGGTAGCCAAACCAGGCACCTTGTTCAAACCCTGCTGCATCCAAATTGGAAGTTCATACAGATTACCTGAAAAGCCTGCAGGGGGATTCTGAGTGATCAGTAACACACACTTCAGGCAGGCCCACTTTCCCCCAGGGGTTCTCTTTCCCTGATACCTTTTGCCCCTTCCCCAGGTCATTTTCTTAACCTTGGGGAAGGACAATAGGGACTTCCACAGCACTGGAGAAGCATCCCCCTCCCCCTCAGATTATGGCCACCTTGACCCGGACAAGGGCACTCATCCACCCAAGCGCCTCTGCTGTGACTAAGTGTCCCACCCTTGCAAGTGGCTGCATGGCCTGCTGAACTGGGTGACCCACGGAAGTCCTGCAGACATGCTGCATTTGGGCTGCCCAATTGCATGGAGGCTGAACAGGCTTTATAAAAGTGGCGCTTCCCATCACGGAACAGACCAGCCCTGGGTTCCTCGCTCTTTTGGGACTAAAACAATTACAAGGTCCATGGATGGGGTAATGGGGATTCCAGGCTGGTGCAGATACTTGCGTGCATTTAGACATACCCCTGTGCAAGGAGGCCTGGTGTTGGGCCGGGGCTACCAGGTGCACCTTTACCATGCCTCCTGCCCTGCCAATCCCTCAGGATAGGCCAGTCTTCATTTTTCTGGCCCAGATGACTAATCCAGGTCAAGCTCTTAGGAAATGCATGGCCAGTGCAAATGCAATTGCCACAGACGCTGCTGCGTGTGCATTTAAAAGCACACTTCCCTAAATCCACCTATGCTTGTACCAAGGTGTCGCTAGGAAAAGTCACTGTACTGGCATGCTTCCTTAGGCAGCCTCGGCAAGGACAAGCAGCATCGATGCAGCCCTCTAAATATGGCTTTGCCAAAGCTTCATTAACCACCTTTTCTTCTCTCTTCCCAGTTTTTCTTCTATCTGGAAAACTGGATCCCATCACGACACAGAAAGGGTTTATTAAACAAAACTCTTACCTCACTGACTCCAGCTGCCATGGTGGACACCCGGGGCGTGGTTTGCATGATCTGTTGTAAAATGCTGACGTAGGTCTGTATTTCCATGAGGTTCTGTGACCAGGCAAAATAATTTCCATTCCAAGTTATCACAGCAAAAACTCCCACTTTGAGAAACAGTGTGCCGGTGTTGCTACCTGTCCCCCTGCCCTCCCCTCCTTGTAAAAACTAGAAGAGAAAGTTTAGACCTGCTGCGTGGCCAGAGTCCAATACCAGGTGGCACAAGGAGAGGCAGGGTCGGGGACAGTTGGAGAGAAGGGTTTGGGGATGCATCGCTTTTCACTAAACTGCAACTTCACACTACCGGCTGAAATGGTCTCCTCTGTGTCATGGTGTAGTTGCAGGAGTAATCTGACAGCAGGGATCCAGGTTTACTGATACTGAGAGAAGTAGTGGCCCATTTTATTGGGCCTTCAACTTCCCACTACTCCAATTTCTGGATAGGGTTCCACCTGTCCTGCTTTCTGTACATGCAGGAAAAACTGACTCGTTGCTCAGTTTCTCCTCATTATGACACTGCATTGCATTTGACATTGGCTCTGCTTTGCTTGGCACAGCCTGTTTGCAAGCAGCTGTGTGTAGGTCAGTGGCCAGGCACAGATGAGGAATAGTTCTCAGCAAGGGCGTCCTGCAAGAAAAGGTTGCCATGTGTAGTGGTTCCTCTTCAGGGTCCCAGCCAGCCTGGCCATCTTCTAGGACCCTCCAGCCCAGCCCACCTTCTCCCCACGCCAAGTGCCAGCCGGCATTCTATGGCCTTGAGCCTGCTCAGCCACTCGGTCCCTCTGCATACCTCGCAATCCTTCTGAGCTTGCTTATTCTGCCCTCTTGTTCATGGATGCTGCATCAGCCTTCCCCATGCAGGTGCCCTGCAAATAATTTGAAAGCCACTTTCCCGTATTTCTGATCATTGGAAGTGCTGGCCGGGCCAGGGCTGATAGAAGTTGTAGTTCAAAACATCTGGAAGGCATCTGGTTGGGGAAGGCTGTCACAGATGGCATGGTATACAAAACATCCCAAATTATTCTGAAATAGGAGCAGATGCCAGTTTTACGAACGTAAATGCCCAGAACAACTTGCTAGGGTTGAACGTGTGCCCCTTGCTGTTGGAAAGTATTAAGAGGTAATGGGGACGGGGGTTAGGTGGGTTGCAACAGAACAGCGTCAAGTAACATCCACAGAACTTGAGACTTGGGCAGAAAGGAGGCTCTGGGACCCTTCAGTTCTCGCTCATTATTTGGAGATGGGGCCTCTTGGAGTAGGAAAAACGACTCCCAGATGTGTGACCTCCTCTTGAAGAAGAGTGAGAAAGGTGCACTACAGAGCCATTCTGGTCAAAGTGACTTCTGGGGCACTACATGCCAAGAGTAGAATGTCGATTTGAAGTTCCTGATAGATATCTGGATGATCTGTAGACGATCAGCAAGGATTCCTGATTTCTGTTTAGCAGCAGCAAAAAGCTTCTCCCTACTCAGGATGAGCAGGAATGGATTTGCATGTAGAAGGAATGTGAACTCCATTCACTTCAGGAACTCAAAGCAAACTCCTGCCAACCCGGAATCTGCCCTTCCTTCTGCTAGAGGGCCATGTCAGCCCCCAGCGTTTTTGCACAGCATGGCTTTTAACCTGCATATGATGGAATCGCAAACTAAGGGGGAACGGAACTGGGGAACAGGTCGGTTACACCTGCAGAAGGTCACCTGTGAACCCAAGGCCCAGGGAAGACTGATTCTAATGACACCACACCTGGATGGGTAGGCAAACCCTTCTGACAAAGAGAACTCAGAACACACTGAAGCCCTGTGCTTCACTCGCAGCCATTACCTTCTTGTATCTGTCCTTCGTGGCATTAACATCATCCTGCAAGAACTGGGATTCAATCTGTAATTCCAAATTGCACAGCAAAGCTTCATCAGCTTCCTGTAAGAAAAGCAAAAAGTGCCATTTCTTTTTGTCCTGGTTCCTCATGTTACTAAAGGTGGCCGAACCACATGCCTTGAATGGCATTCCTCTCTCTTCACTTTAGTATACAATGAATACGTAATACATTGACTGAGGCCTCCCAAGTATCCACGTGGCTTCTGGTTTGTAACGTAACACCTGGGCTCCGCTTGCCCAACACTGGCATGCTTAAGAGGCCACCATGGCTTGCTAGCTACCCCGTGTACATGCTGGCTCAGAGAGAAAGTCACACAACCCTAAAATGCAGTGGAAACTAATAACGTTTAAAAATGGCATTGCATGAAAGGGAGGTATAAAATACCATAGACCAAAATGCAAGCTACCTTGGGCGAGTTTTAATCTGGCACCAAGATCTCTGCAATGTCGGCATCGGTTCCACTTCGACAATGAGGGGGTTCCACAAAGGGAGCACCACCATAGCAGAGAAGGCCTTTTCCACGGCTGCTGCATGATGAGCAGAGGGTGGTTGCTTTCAGAAGAGCTTGTAAGGCAAAGGACTACCCTCGTCAATCAACCACATAAGCAATGTGATGGGGTCTCGTCCTCTGCCCAGTTCCCTACCACCTATTGAACTCTATGGGAATTCCTTCTGAGCATAGCTATATAGGATCATATCATGGTACCGGGTTAGTATTTCCTTTGTGCTTTTTAATATCACTTTCATTCAATGCAAGTACAGAATTTTCTGAAAAATTTGGTTGTGCTCATGCTGTGCATGGACATTAAGATTCATCATGGAGAGTGCAGAGACTGGAGGTGGGGCCGCTCCTTCCAGCCCCCGCCCTTCCTCACATCCTTGCTTGCAGTTGCCACAAGCAGGGTGAGTGCCACATGCCCTCCTCTTCCAGTGTCAAAGCCAAGGGCAATGCAGCACAGGCGGCCAGTGAGCTGGCTGGTGGAAAGAACCACGATGCAAGAGCCTGAGACTTAGTAGGGCTAGTCACACGTTCCTGATGTTGCTTATGACGTACGAGGCATCCCTCGGCCCAGAAAGGGCCTGCAAGGTAATGCGCACTCTTACATCTTTACACTATTGTAACACAGCAAAGGACAAAACAACAAGATGGGGCGAAAGCTTTAAAATGGGCAGATTCCTGCGAGGCAATCACTACCTCTGCTGCTGGGGAGCATGAACAGGAGACTGTTCTTATGCTCCTGTCCTTCCCACAGGGATCTGACTAGGCCCTGTGGGGACAGAATGCTGGACTAGGAAAGGCTCTGGTCTGGTCCAGAAGGGCTGTTCTTGTGTTCTCTGCTCCTGATCTTTTAAACAGATCAAAATCTGTTTATACTCAAAAATCACTCAAAACCATGAAGATCACCCACCTGAACGGAAGTGCAAAATCCACCTGCTCAGGGGCAGCGGTCCACAATTAGGTTGCCCTCAAAGAGAAGGCCCAGTCCTGTGTTCCCACCAACCCAGCTTCTCTTGGTGGCGGGACATGCAGAAAGGCCTGCAATGCCCCTAGCGTCTGCTGGCCCAGCTTATTTCCAGCTGAGGCAGAACCAGCACCGTTTGAATTAAGCTGACTCTGCCTGGCTCAGTACGATGCAGGCTGACCAGTGTGGGTACAAGTCTCCAGCATTCCTGATGGTGCTTCCACGAGGCTGACCGCACATGTGTTTCGGTGTCCTTAACTGAGCGGAAAAAGGCAATGAAGTTCTTATCCATGCTTTGCGGCCAAAGAACTATGCCGCAGGGCTATCAGTGGGGAGGATAACAATGGGGATGTGTGCTGGATGCATAACCTGAGGAGTACAGCCAGAGCGGCTTGCTCAGATTGCACATGAATCGTGATGTCCTCGGCAACTCTAGTGGATTATGCGGCATATAAGCAATAGAAAAAAATCAGTCCCTGGCCACTCAGCTAACCAGGTGCAGCAGGCCCTGGTCCCAGAAGTGTTGCCTGCCTCCAACGGTCCATATCCAATGCTCAGACAGGAGTGCTGCCTTTCTGGGCTCTGGAACAGCCGCATTCATGGGGAGGGCCATGTGATGGAGAGCTGTTCAAAGGGAGCTGCTTTTGTGAGCTGCCCAGCAAGCTAATCCGGAGCTCTGCGGTGCTATTCAAAATTATTCCAAGGCTTGCTTTTTCCATTATGTCATGGAAAGCAGAAGTGGCCCTGCCTGCTGATGTGTCAGTATTTTTTTAAAAAAAACCCCTCAGCATGGCCTTTTGCTCTGGACCTAGTTAATCTGCACTATGGGCAAGTAAGATTCATTAACGCCGACCACAAATGGAATATTCTAAGCCACCGGTCAGCCATTTGCTCAACGTTTCTGCATTCATTACAATTTCTTTTTGGGAGATGAATCAGCAGCACAATGGGCCAATCATGCGTTCGTGGACCTATAGGGTGCGAAAGGGAGGCATGCAGAAGTGAATAGTGCATATTTTGGCATATATCGAACAAAACCGGACATCGGCTTTTAAGAAAAAAAAAATCCAGTACGACAGCAGCATTTTTTTGGCATTCAGGGTGTACTTAAATGACCTGGGTCGCCTCTCATCCTGCAGGACTGGGCAACTTCTGGTCCTTTAGATGTTTTTGCCTACAAGGCCCACCATCATTTGCTTTTGGCTAATATGGCTCAGGGTGATAGGAATTGTAAGCCAAAACACCTGGAAGGCGGCAAGTGGCCCACCCCATCATACGCCACCACCCCAATCCAGAAAGAGAAAGCCATGCACAAAAAAAGACCTCTCACAGATGGTTGGTTACGAAAGCGCACGGGTGCACTCCCAGCCATATGACCAGGCCCTTTCAGGACCCTCGGATCTCACTAGAAGCATCTTGCAATCAGTGCGTGAAAGCACATTTGATCTGGGGCCAGGGCTTGCTAGATGAAATTCATTAAGCGTGAGCAGGATGGGCTTGGATCCCATCCTCCTCCCTCTTCCTCCTCCCATCATTGTTTCTGTATATTTCTTTTTTCTTCTCCAGATTCTCAGCCCTAGGCTCAGCAAGCAATTTATCAAGACTCTTTCCTCCAGGCAAGAGCAGCAAAACAGGAACTGGACAGGTCTGCAAAACTGTTGATTAATGTTCCCTTCCATGGGTGAGTCTTGATTCTAAAGGTATTCATTCCACATCCTTTGGGAGGATGCAGCGCTGGTCAAAAAGCTCAACATGAAATTTGCCAAAGAAAAACACATTCCATTTTCCTGGAGACAATCTGTTGCAATCTTGATTCTTTGTGTTCATGGGTTAATCTACCAGCCCAAAGGTGATGGAGGTGTGGAAATTATGTCTTGGCACATGAGATATGGCCTATTAAATAAGATGACAAATGTCATCATGGGGAGCACTAGGGAAATTAGCTTCACTCCTTTTCAACTGTGAGGAACAAATAGGGAAATGTCAAGGCTGCAAGGGTGCTGATTCTTTTTGTGCAAGTTGAGCCAGCATGCAACCTTCTCTTTTTAAAGCAGGCTATGACTTGCATATTTTCTCCCCAGAGGTTGAGGAAATTTGCACAAATTTGCACGAATCAAGGTGTGGAGGCCTGAATTTTGCATAAATCTTAACTCTTGGAAAATTCAAGGTGGCCAAGGTGCATATGCAGTGAGCAGAGGATGCTTCCATACTTCTCATGTTACATGTTACAAGAAGGAGAACAACATCCAAACAAGTTCAGCTCCAACTTTTGCAAATTGCCCTAGAGGTAAGCAGTGTTCAGCTCTAAATTTGTGCAGATATTTTGAGCTATTTTACAGAAAGTGAGCTGCCCCTTCCCCCCCACCTGCCAACCCTGCCTGCTTTTGATTGTGGAGTCTGAAAAAGTTCCTCAAGCTCAAATGGACCAAGTTTTCCAGTATTGGACATGCCCATATACAAAACACTAAGAAATTTCCAAAGGATTCTAAAACACTTTGTGGACTCATTCACAGCCCAGCCTATAATAACAGAAAGAAAGAGGAAGAGGAAGAGTTTCATCTCCTGCTTAGCTTCCAAGATGAGGTAGGATCAGGCACTTCCAGCTATATGGAAGCTCTACCTATTCAAAATACTTAGGCCAGAGTGTGGGACACCATGGCACTAAATGATGTGCAGTTCCACTCTTGCTTGGTGGAGGAAGAAGTTTAAAGTAAAATGAAAAAGGCAGCCACCAAGGCAGCTTGAAGTCAGCCATGTGGCGCAGATGCACCTGCTGCACCAGATTTGCATCCTGGCTCACTGAGCTCTTGCTGAGTGGCCTTGTTCCTGTTGCTTCTCCAGTTTACTTCCCAGAATGTGTTGAGTATAAAACCTTGTGTGATGCGTGTACAGCGGAGGTGTTGCACCTCTTCTAGCCTGGAGGCAGTGGCTATCACTGAAGCCCAAGAGGGCAAGGCCAAGATACCAGCCAGGCCAACACATCTTAGCTGAAAGCTCCCACCGCCAGCCACGAGGCCTTAAGAGAGGCATCAGCCAGTTGGGACAGGAGCAAGGAGGAGCTGTGCAAAAGCCAGGAAACCACCAAACAACCAGGGTCAGAGGAAAGAGGGAAGAGCCAGGGAAGGGGACGTGGCCCTCCTGGGAACCCTGGAAGACCAGACTAGCACACGGGCAGGCTAGTTTTGGCCCTTGGGCCTCAGTTTCTCCACCTCTGATGTTCACCATCCGGACAGAGAAGGCTGGTTACTCAACATCCACTCCAGTTTTTCTTCTCAGCTTGATGGGAACAAGGCATGCTGCTTCATGGTGGAGAACCTAATCTGGAAATGAATTCAGCACCATGGATAGCACCCATAATTCTCAAAAGAAAAGCTGCAATGGATGAGCAGCCCCACTGATACAGGAGGCACAAGCTTCCCCTGCTTCCCAAGCTCTTTGGTTTAACTTATTTTGTTTTGCTTCTCTCTCTCTCCAATGTTTGGTTTAGGTTTTGTTTTGTAACACAGAAGGAAAAAAAAAGGTAGGAGAGAAAAGCAATAAAATGGAAAACTTGCATGGCAGGCAATTGGGGCCTTTCA